AAACAGTTTCAGGCAGTTATCCAAATCAGAAACAGAAATTGCTGGATTAACTCAGAAGGTCTGGCAACACCTGTGGAGAGAAAACAGAGTCAGCATTTTATCTGCTGTCTCCCTTCTTCATAAATCTCTCTATACACTAACACACTCTAACTAGGGAGATACTGTTTCCCTGTTCCGTGTTTGAGAAGGCATTCACTCAGTTGTGATTCCTTCTGATATATCAGCGAGTTCATAAGTGAAGATAGGATTTTGATTTTGCTGCTATTACTTGTGTTAATCACATGCAGGATTCATCCTGTGAATGTATTTGGTTGTTTCTGTTGCCATGAGCACCCCTATAACTGTCTGGAGTTTAATATTCTGGCTAACAGTGCTGATTTTTGAAGCTGCAGTGTGTCCCACTTTAAGGCTCAGTGTGAGATCTTTCCCCTTGATTCAAGAAATCTCAAAAACTTGTTCACAGTAAAATTACAAACTTTTACTTCAATTCTAAATGGACCTTTGATGGTAGATTTACAATTTGGTGTCTGAAAGGATGCAATTATGTACAACTCCAATGAGAAAGTGCTGATTAATCCTTGCTGACAATTTTCACTGATTTGCACATTCTTGAACATGGCACATCCATTTGAAATTAAGTTATGAAGGAGCATGAAACTGAAGAAGGAAGTATTTTACAGGCACATCATTGATATTGATGATGTTTGAAAGTTTCACAGTTTGATGTTTTCTAGCTAAGCTCTAACCCTATAACACTGGCCATAGCCAAGAGAATGATGCAAAAGGCAGACCAATACTCTGCAAACAATCACTGGGTCAGCCAATTCAAACTGACTGTGACAATGGAAATGTGGTGTTGTGTAGGATGGGATCAATTAGCACTTGGTCCAACCATCACTAATGTGCCCCCTCTCCCCCCACCATGAAAATCAGCAGATAGGGCAGTTCTCACTGACACAACTGATGTTCTGTTGGGTTGAACACGACTGTGAGCTGTCCTCCCGTGAGACAGATGTCTCTTAGTTTCTCTTTGAAACTCTCCTGCAGCTTCCTGACATGGTTGAGTTGGTCGAGAAACACTAAACCATGTAAACGTCATTAATCACTTCCCAAGCAGAGAGACAAAGATGGAACTCTAGCTGAACTGCTTAAGCACAGAAAGTCCCATCTCCCTCCCTGCCCCCAACCCTCATGACCTCCCCCTCCTCTTTTGGAGGTTGGGTCTGTTGCATAGGACAAGCATGATGCAAACATCATCTCAATTTATGTAAAGAAAGGTGTGACAGGAGATCACAACTAAGGGACATCTCATACAGCATCACAAGGAAAGCCTTCATGAGAATCATGTTTAAAAGATTTCATTCATCTTCAGACCAAGTGTGGTTTCTGTGCTGACAAATCAACAGCGGGTATGATCCTCTGAAAGCTATAGAAAAAGTGCAGGAAACAGGATTTCACTCCCTACCTCACTCTTGCAGATCTGCCTAAAGCATTATGATTGACAAGATTTTGGGTAAACGTAGAAACCAAAGGTTGATGGCGTTGTGGATGGTGTGGAGGGCTGTTGTAGGTTGCAACAAGACATTGACAGGATGCAGAACTGGGCAAAGAAGTGGCAGATGGAATTCAACCTGGAAAAGTGTGAAGTGATTCATTTTGGAAGGTCGAATTTGAATGCAGTATAGAGGTTTAATGGTAGGATTCTTGGCAGTGTGGAGGAACAGAGGGATTTCGGGGTCCACGTCCATAAATTCCTCAAAGTTGCCACCCAAGTGGATAGGGTGGTTAAGAAGGCGTATGGTGTGTTGGCTTTCTTTGGCAGGGGGATTGAGTTTAAGAGCTGTGAGGTTATGCTGCAGCTCTTTAAAACCCTGGTTAGACCACACTTGGAATATTGTATTAGTTCTGGTCGCCTCATTATAGGAAGGATGTGGAAGCTTTAGAGAGGGTGCAGAGGAGGTTTACCAGGCTGCTGCCTGGACTGGAGGGCAGGTCTTATGAGGAAAGATTGAGGGAGCTAGGGCTTTTCTCATTGGAGTGAAGAAAGATGAGAGGTGACTTGATAGAGGCATACAAGATGAGGAGAAGCATTGATAAACTGGATAGCCAGAGACATTTTCCCAGGGCGGAAATAACTATTATGAGGGGCCATAATTTCAAGGTGAGTGGAGGAAGGTATAGGGGAGATGTCAAGAGGTAGGTTCTTTACACAGAGAGTGGTGGGTGCGTGGAATGCACTGCCAGCAGTGGTAGTGGAGTCAGATACATTAGGGACATTCAGGCGACTCTTGGATAGGCACATGGATGATTGTAAAATGAAGGGTATGCAGGGTAGTTTGATCTTAGACTTGGATAATAGGACGGCACAACATTGTGGGCTGAAGGGCCTGTACTGTGCCGTACTGTTCTATGTTCCTAAAATAGGTGCAGGAGTAGGCCATTCAGCCCTTGGAGTCTGCACTACCATTCAACATTATCATGGCTGATCATGCAATCTCAGTATCCCATTTCTGCTTTCTCTCCATATTCCTTGAGTCCATCTAAAATATGCTGTCCACCAAGACTCTTCAGTCTGATCTGCGTTTTATACAACCACATGCCCTGTACAGTTTGTCAGCATCACATCCGACAGTTCCAGGGTGAGGAATAGAGTGAAACAAAACACCAACACCAAATCAACAAGGGTGCCTGATAACTCATGGAGTCCACACTGAGCCTCCCACATAGGCTCACCCTCTACCCTAATCCTATAACCCTGTATTTCCCATGGCTAAACCACCTAACCTGCATATAGAAACAGACCTTTTGGTCCAACCAGTCCATGCCAAACAAAATTCCGAACTAAACTAGTCCCACCTGCCTGCTCCTGGCCCATATCATTGTGGGGGGAAACCAGAGCAGCTGGAGGAAACCCACACAGACACGGGGAGAACGTTCACACAGTCATCCAAGGGTGGAATTAAGCTGGGTGACTGGTGTTGTGAGGCAGCAGTGCTAGCCACTGTGCTGCCCGTGATTAATGATAACTTCTGTCAGGGAGATAGAACATGTGACAGTGAATGACAAAGTAAGGAATGAGATCAGTGCAATTAAAGTCTAGAAAGGGATTGTGTTAAATCACTGCTTCCCAAAATGTTTCCAGTGTGACCCCTTTTAATGCCTCAGAATCTGTGTAACCCAATAGTAAAAATTTTTTGGGAGGGGGTCTGAGAATTGCTAATCTCTGGGGGAAGGGGAGGCATGTATTTGGACTGGGGTGATCAATACAATCCAGAATATTTATCTTTTACAATCTGCAAATGACTTCAATGTAACAGGACTCTGACCATTATTGAATAGGGCTCCGATTATTCATTATAATAATTTTGTTATTTTACATGAGTGGTGAAATTATTCCCAATTATTGAAGGAGGAAGCAACTGATTGTTAATGAAACAGGAACTGTGTAAATAGTTAAATCCTGACTCATTATAAACACATGCAATAAAGCTTGAGAGTACAGAAGGTGGCCATTTGACCCATTGTCAGCATTTTCAGAGACAGTGCATGTACAATTTGTCCCACTCCCCTCCTCCTTCTCCCTTGCCCGGTAAAACTTTCCTTATTGAGGAAAATTCTAAGTCACTTTTGCACATTACTCCTGGATCTGCTTCCACCAGACTTTCAGATAATGTCCTCCAGATCATCAGAACTCACTGAGTAAGATCATCTCCCCTCATCTTTACCTGGATTTTTGCCACTTACCTTGAAGCTGTGTTCTGTGGTTACAACCATCCTGCAGTGGAAACAGTTTCTCCCCATGGAGATGAAAGCTCCTAAAATATTTCTACACCTCGATAAAATTACTCTTTAATCTCTGTGCTCAAAGGCAAATAACCTGTTTCTCTCAGTGATATGTGATCAGAAGCTCATTTTGAGGTTAAATTTAACACCAAGATTGTGTGTAGTTGAGCCTGAGACATTTCCCAGGGAGAGGAATGAACTTGGTAGCTAAAGTGACTGAAGTTAATGGCTTTGCCTTCTCCATTTTTACTTGGAGGAAATTTGTGCTCATCTGTCACTGTCTGTGCAATAGTCAGTTTGATAATTTAGTGTCAGTGGAGGAATGGAGATGGATGGTAGTGAGATGGAGCCAAACTATATCAGCATACATGTGTAAAAGAACACTGTATTCAGAAATTGCTGCCCAGTGATGAGAAATACGAGGGGCCCAGGAGAGATCCTTGGAAGATACCCTAGGAATCCACTTCAGGGACTCAGAAGTGAGTCAAATGGACAATTGAACACTGACAGGACATGTCAGGAGATAGGAGAAAAACTGGATAATAATACGAGTTGAATGTTCAAAGAACGTTAGAGGCCATTTGTCCTGGTGAGCTAGGGGAAGGGAGGAAGATGGCAGAGGCAACTGATCAGATGGTCTTACTCCTAGTGACCAAGTCTATCAGCTCCTCGCTCATTGTTGGATTTGAGATGATGGGAAAAGCCCTTCAACACAGATCGGGAGTGGACCATTTGGCCGCTGGGCCTTCCCTGCCTTTCAGTTAGATCATGGCTGATCCTTTTTCACCTGCAGTATTCCCATTTCTCATTATGTCATTTGTCTGTGGGAATCTGTTGAGTTATAACTTGAATATCTGCAATGATTGAGGTTCCATGAAGCTCTGGGTAGAGGATTCTGAAGATTCAACCCCTTCTGAATGGTCTTAAATGTCCTACGTCTTATTCTGAGACTGTGTCCCCTTGTTTTAGACTCAGTAGCCAGGGGAGAAATTTGATCTATATCCACCTGTAAGAATCTAATAAATTTCAGTCAGATCGCCACTCATTCTCCAAATGGTATGACCTCAGTTGAGGTAATACTGCACTAGCCAGATCTCTGAGTGAAGCCTGGTTTGATAGATCATATGTTTTATGTTTGCAATTTAGTTAGGATGATGGTTAATTATTGAGGCTGCCAATGTTCTTTCAATAAAACAGCACAAGTTTTTTGCATAAAATAATAAAAGGCTTTGTTTCATTACAAAGCTATTTATTTTAGTTTTATCCAGAATATTAACAATTCAAACTGAGCAGGGGTTTATTAACCAATGAACATGGTTCAGTCCTGGATATGACTAACAGCAAAGGCCAACTCCTGTAGTTACATGTGAACTCACTGGTGAATGAGGAGGGCTTTCCAAGTGAATCCCTTCCTTACTCAGTATAGGTGAACAGCCTCTACCCCTTGTGAGCTCACTGGTGTACTGTGAAGTGAAATGGTTGTTTGAATGCAGATCCACACATAGACAGCATCTGAAAGGTACTTCTTCTTTATGAACGCATTAATGGTTCATCAGATAGTCAGACTCTGAAAGCACTTCCCACACTCTGGGCAGTTAAAATGTCTCGCCTCAGTGAAGATTCGCTAGTATATTGTGAGGTGCGATGACCAAGTGAATACCTTCCCACACACACTCTGAATTCTCTGGTGTACAGTGAATTCAGATGACGTCTTGAACCCTTTCCCACAGTAAGAGGATCTGAACGGACTCTCCTCAGTGTGAACATGGTGATGGGACAGCATTTCCTTTGAAAATTTGTCACACTTCTTGCAGTCTGTGCATTTAAAAGGAATCTCCCCAGTGTAAACTCACTGGTGGGTCATAAGGTAGGAAGAGTGAATAAATCTTTTTACACACTCAGAGCACATGAATGGTGTCTCCCCATTCTGCGCCAATGGATCTCCAGCTTAGGCAGGAATGTTAATTCTTCATCACAGTCCCTACATTTCCATGGCCTGTCTGCAGTGTGGCTGCTTTGGTGAATTTCCAGCTTGGATTGGTCACTTAATTGCTTCCCACAGTGTCCACATTTCCATGGTCTCTACACACAGTAACTGCACTTGTGCCTTGACAGGCCAGACGATAGGCTTAAGCCTTGTCCACACATAGAACATATGTTGGTTTTCTCTTCACTGCATACTGTGTTCTTTCCATCCATGTTCACAATCCAATTACATTTTGGTTGTGATTAATTGGAAGCTTCCATCAGATTCTGAGGTGCTGCTGGATCTGTGATCCCTTTCTGGCACCCTCTGAAACTGTTTTAAAACAGAGAAAAAAAAGAGTATGAGAGAACACCCACAGAAAAAAAGACTGTGACACTGAACTGAATTAATATGGTCATTTCTGTTTTGAGGAAGGGTCACTGGATCCGAAATGTTCACTCTGCTTTCTCTCCACGGATGCTGCCAGACCCACTGAACTTTTCCAGCAGTTTCTGTTTTTGTTTTTGAATATAGCAATTGGTTGGATCAGCTATGAGAGAAATTCATCATGAAACTTGTCAGAATGTCCTAAAAACCTAATGCTTGCTAATGTCCATCAGGAAGGGAATCTGCCATCCAGTATGAACCTGGACAAGACTCTGGCCTCTAAGGGATGAAGCAAAGAGAGAAGTGAGAAAGACAGCTGTATGCACTTACAGCTCGACCAGCTCTTGGACAGAATCTCCTAAACTCTCAATCTTCACCATCTCGAAGGTTCAGGATAAGAGATGTGGACACCATTACCTCCATGTTCCTTCCAAATCTCTCACCCTCCTGATGTGTCCGACATCCAGCACTGGAAGAGCAGAAATATCCTCCATTGAAACACTAGGAAGTTGAAACATTCAATCTCTGTTACAAACTCTACTTCCTCCTGCACAACATCATCTCTCTCTCTTGCAACTGTGTAATGCTAAAACAGACTGGTCAGAATAACAATGTTATGCCCAGACTAAACTTTAAACATTTTATTCACATCATCAAAAAGACCTTCCATCTACTTCCACCTCAGTGATTTCGCCTATCTCCACCCTAGTCTCAGCTCATGTGGCTTTGTTTCTTCTCCATTCACTTATTATCTTTAGATTTAACCATCCTCCTGCTCTCTCAGCTGGCCTCACACAGTCAACTTCTCAGTAATTTTGAGGTGATCCAAAATTCTGCTGCTTGTGTTTTTACTCCTAATAGGTCTACCTGTGTTTCTATACTTGGTTGTAAATTTTCAGATGCTGGAAATCTAAAACAAAAAGAGAAAATAATGGGAATAATCAGCAGGTCAGGCAATATCTGTGGAGTGAAAAACAGAGTGATATTTCAGGATGTGCTGAATAAATTACAGGGAATAAAAATGCTGCAGAATTTGACTGTCTACATAAGCTCAGAAGCAGAAATGAGCTCCAGTGGAGGAAAAACAGTTGCTGATGATGGGAAAGTAAATCTGGTAAACCAGCAGCACACTGGCAGTGGAAACTTCATTTGGACACAATTTTTAGAAACAACAAAATAGTAAACACGGTTAAAGTACAAAGTTGAGTAGAGGCAGAGGAAGTTAGACAAGGGGAGAGCAGTGATCAAAAAGGACAGAGATGTTACAAAGCAATGGATAGATATGGATTTGGTTCCGCAATAATATAGCCTCATCAGCTCCAGAGCCATGGATGAGGAGCATAGAACTAAAGCTTCCAATTGCAATCGAAAGCTCAATAATTCTAACCTCCGAAATAATTTCATTATCTTCAATTTTAAAATCTCTGGCTGCATCCTGTATCTTGAAAGATATCAGAAACATGGGAGACAGAGCACAATCTCTCTGTCTTCCTTCTAACTCCCTGTAAAAGACAGCAAAAGTCATGAGTATCAATAGAAGACAGAACTTGAGAGACCTTTCTACTGATTTGAGTTTGCAAAGTGTAAATAATGCCCCTTCCCTCCCCCATGCAAGAGGGGTTTCTAAAAGCATTCTCTATCAATCCAGGATAGAAATGCACAACATGGGCTTTCTGCTTACGGGTGAGCACGTGCTCAGTTTCTGTACAGTTGGCAACCATCAAACCCCCCAGATTTCTCAATGATTTTCTCATGGTAGCAAATTAAATTAAATAAATCATTATGAGCAAAGATATAGTGTACAAACTAAGGGAACTAAATTACAAGAAACCCCTCAGATTATGGACTTCCATGACAGAATTTTCAAAAACGAGCAGCAGAGACAGTGATTCTTCTGGAGATTCACTGGGACACAATAGCCCACTGTTCCCTCACCAAGATGTCTGCTAATGTGAGCAGTATAAGCAACAAGCCCAATTAAATATGACATTCATTAGGTTACAACTTGAGTCTTGTGTGCAGGCTGATCATCTCATTACAGAATTGGACTTAATCTCAGCGATGCTTGCAACAGGGTGAAAATCCTGGAATTCCCTCCCTCATTGCATTGCGGGTCTACCTACAGCACAAGGACTGTAGTGGTTCAGGAAGGCAGCTCACACCACCTTCTCTAGGACATCTGGGGACAGGCAATAAATGGTGATGCAGCCAGCAAGGGCCACATCCACAGATTATGTTCAAATTCCATCTGCGGTGAAGTGTGTCATCTCATGTCTGGATAGAGAGATTAAAAGAAAATATGTAATTGCACTGGTGAGGGGACAGTTGGTAGGAGTGGAAAATTGCAGCTATGAGGAAGAGGTGGCTAGGCTGAAATTGCGTTCCCTGAAATAGAGGAGACTGGAAGGGAGTTTCTTTTATGTACTCATGGGATGTAAGCATCACTGGCTGGGCCAGCATTTATTGCCCATCCCTAATTGCCTAGAGGGCAGTTAAGAGTCAACCACATTGCTGTGTATCTGGAGTCACGAGTTGTTCAGACTGGGTAAGGATGTTAGTGAACCAGATAGGTTTTCTTTTCCGACAATCGACAATGGTTTAAATGTCAACATTAGATTCTTTAATTCCAGATTATTTTTACTGAATTCAAATTCAGGATTTGAACCTGGGTCCACAGAATATGAGCTGAGATTCTGGATTAATAGTCGAGTGATAATACCAGTAGGCGATTGCCACCTTTTAAGGTGTATTAGATTGAGGTGTCTCAGTCTGCGTGAGGCCTGGATGGAATGGATGAGAAGGAGCTGTTTCCCTCAGCACAGAGCTCAGTGACTTGGTGGTGGAGATTAGATTGAGGTGTCCCAGCCTGTGAGGGGCCTGGATGGAGTGGATGAGAAGGAGATGTTTCCCTCAGCACAGGGCTCGCTGCGAGGTTGAGTCCTCACCCTTTGTGCTGTCACAATAGTGGTCAGTTCCCTGGGTAACGGTACATAACCTCGAAAACCCCATCCCGACTCCATCACCTGCCCACAGGTAAACATAGGGTCACTGTGGGGCTTATATTCGGGGTTCTAAGGCCTCCCACTGGACTTTACAAACTTGCCCAGAGTCCCCTCCCGACATTTCCATTCCTAACCTGTCTCACAATCTCTTTTCGCCTTCCACATTTCTTTAGTCTATGCCATCCTGTTAGCATTGTTAGCAACCAACAGTCCCCACTAACAGCTATTCACCTTCCTAGCCAGCTGGTAATCCACTCGTTTGTCTGTCCAAGTGTTCTTCTCTCTCTTTGGGGTCTATCCCTATCTATCGTTTACTCCTTACCCCTTACCCGCTACCAAGTCTTCTGCATAAAAACTGACATTTTCCTAGCTACCATCAGTTTTGAGGAAGGGTCACTGGACCCAAAACGTTAACTGTGATTTCTCTCCACAGATGCTGCCAGACTAGCTGAGCTTTTCCAGCAATTTCTGTTTGTGTTTATGCTCAGAGCACAGCCCAGTTCTGCAACTGTGCACTGAGTTCAGGCTGAGAAGGCTGTACATCATTGGAGGTTAGTGCGCAGGCGCAGGACCAGGACCGCTGGGTGTCCCATCCTGTGACAGCAACTGAACATGGTTCATATCAAAGGATGGGGGAGAGGGGTGAATACATGAGATGATGCATCTGGGGAGGAAAACAACGAGGCCCAGATCAAGAAGCTGGCAGGTGGGAGGAGGGTGGGGTGATGGTGGTAGGGAGAGGATTCACAAACATCCCCTGGAGACCACAGATGCCGAATCAGAATCATTAATTTGATTCTCAATCTGCAGACAACATTTGGAGAACTGAAGCCAAGCAGAGGAGATGGAGGGTGGGAGCAGAGTGGGAGCGGAGAGAAGAGATGGTGGAGACGGATTTGGATTTCAAGCCAGGAGGAGGGAGAGTGTAGTACCAGGATTAACAGATTTGGGATAATAGGACAGAAAAATTTGTTAAAATGAGAGGAGAATTTCTACTAAAACAAAGTTGCTGGAAAAGCTTAGCAGGTCTGGCAGCATCTGTGAAGGAAAAAACAGAGTTAACGTTTCGGATCTGGTGACCCTTCCTCAGAACTGACTGTGGCTGGGAAAACGTCAGTTTATATGCAGAAAATAGGAAGGTGGGTGGGGTAGGGAGTAAACAATAGGATAGAGCCCAAAGAGAGAGAAAGACGGTTGGACAGACAAAGGAGTTGCTAATGATCAGGCTGGGAGGGTGAATAGTTGTTAACGGGGCCTGTTAGTGACTAATAACAGTGGGTGTGTAATGCCAGGCTATGTGGTAACAAGGCCTGGTTTATGGGTAGGGGCTGGGACATGGGAGAGTTTAGACCCTAAAATTATTGAACTCAACATTGAGTGCTGAGGGCTGTAGGGTCCCCAAGCGGAAAATGAGGTGTTGTTCCTCCAACTTGCGTTGGGCTTCGCTGGAACACTGCAGCAAGCCAGAAACAGAGATGTTGGCCAGGGAGCAGGATGGTGCGTTAAAGTGGCAGGCAACAGGTAGCTCAGGGTCTTTTTTGTGAGCAGAGCATAGATGTTCTGCCAAGTCTACACTTTGTTTCCCCAATGTAGAGGAGACCACATTGTGAGCAATGAATGCAATAGACCAGATTCTGGGAAGTGCAGGTGAAGTGTTGCTTCACCTGGAAGGTATGTTTGGGCCCTTGGATACTGGGGAGGGAGGGAGGTAAATGGGCAGGTGTTGCACCTTCGCCGGTTATAGGGGAAGGTGCCGTAGGCTGTGGGGATGAAGGAGGTGTGGACCAGGGTGTCCCAGAGGAAATGGTCCTTGCGGAAGGCGGACAAGGGAGGGGAGGGGAATATGTGTCGTGGCATCTCTCTGGAGGTGGCGGAAATGGCGTCTGTGGATGCTGGTGGGATGGTAGGTGAGGATAAGGGGAGCCCTATCGCTGTTGTGGGAGGGAAGAGAAGGGGTGAGGGCGGAAGTGCGGGAGATGGGTTGGACCTGATTGAGGGCCCTGTCGACAACGGAGGTGGGGAATCCTCGGTTGAGAAAGAAGGTGGACATTTCAGAGGCTCCCTTGTCGAAGTTGGCCTCATCTGAACATAGGCAACTGACGTTTTCCCAGGGTCACCGGACCCGAAATGTTAACTGTGTTTTTCCTTTCCAGATGCTGCCAGACCTGCTGAGCTTTTCCAGCAACTTTGTTTTAGTTCCTGATTTACAGCATGTGCAGTTCTTTCGGTTTCTATTTTGCTTTGAATTTCTATCTTGTGCTGACACTGATGAAGCTTGTGAAGTCTTACACAATTTTAGAAGAGAAGTATTTGCAGATGTTAAACACAAACCAAATTTCCTGTCAAGATCCTTGACCAAGAGCAGTTTCCTCTGTCTGGTGAGCACCCACAATTTGAGAGTCAGCCAAACACAGTCATAGCTTTCTCTGCTCTTAATGATTGGTCACAATTGCTGAGCACTTCCAGCAGGGAGTTAGTATGTCACCTTGTCCCGGAACCTCAGTTTTCCTGACACTTACAGCAAAGAAAAATACATTACAGACACTGGGGAAAGGATCACAAGTCATTGGAGAAGAGAAGGGAGGGATCATTTAGATCCCAACTTGTGTGCTCAAAGATCTGTGGTTTGAGAATTGGCTTGTTTAGTCACATGAAGACCCATAACTGAAACAAGTCATTCTCGTACTGAGGGACACTCAACATCTGGCTAAAACTGGACGAGGTCATGAACTGTAGCAGTGGCTGGGAGTTTCTGTGCTTGTGCAATTTTTCTGGATGGATTGAACTCAACGATATCCAAACTTCATCAATGTGAATGCTGATCAGTGAAGCTTTTATTGACATTGCTGTGAAATATTTCACTATTCTGTTTCATGTTTCTTGATAATTTAATTTAATTTTGAAATGCAGGTGCCACTTTAATGAATGTGCAAGTTAGCAAGAGCTAATTAGCACTTACTAATTAGGAAATGTTCATCAGCGGATCCTTTCAGATTCTGAACAGTAGACTTTGCACCAAGGGTCAATTTACAATACAAACTTTTACTTCTAAATGTTTTGAGATTGAATTCCAGATGAGAGTTCTTGAATTAACAGTAAGGATTACAGGTAGCACTTCTTTTAAAAAATGGAAATCTGCCCATAAAATTAAACTCTGGCCTGTTATAACATTGTGTAGTCAGAAGAAACATTCTTGATATTATCAGACTTCCAAACTTGAATGTGATTCACAGAATCAATAACAGTAGAATCTTCCTTCTGCAGTTATTTATGAACTCGCACATGTGCCGCTAGGTTGAAGGACCTATTGAATTATTTCCCACACATAGAGCAGGTAAATGGTCTCTCTCCAGTGTGAACTCCCTGGTGAATGAGGAGAGTAGATGAACACCTGAAACTCTTTCCACAGTAAGTGCAGCTGAATGGCTTCTCTTCTGTGTGAATTTGCTGGTGAGACTTGAGAGTTGATGATGCAGTGAATCCCTTCCCACACACAGTGCAGGTGAATGGTTTCTCCCCTGTGCGAATTTGCTGGTGAGTTACCAGATTGTGAGACTTTGTGAATGTCTTCCCACACACTGAGCAAGTGAACAGCCCCTCCCCAGTGTGAACTCGCTGGTGGTCACTGAGGCTGTGTGAATGTTTGAACCTCTTTCCACAGTGAGTGCAGCTGAACGGCCTTTCCTCAGAGTGAACACGTTGGTGAGTCACCAAGTTGGATGTCTCTGAGAATCCTTTCCCACACACAGTGCAGGTGAATGGTTTCTCCCCTGTGTGAATTCGCTGGTGAGCTGCCAGATTGAGAGGTTTTGTAAATGTCTTCCCACACATGGAGCAAGTGAACAGCCCATCCCCAGTGTGAAGTTGCTGGTGGTCACTGAGGCTGCATGAATGTTTGAATCTCTTTCCACAGTGAGTGCAGCTGAACGGCCTCTCCTCAGAGTGAACGCGTTGGTGAGTCACCAAGTTGGATGTCTTTGAGAATCCCTTCCCACACGTGGAGCAGGTGAAGGGCCTCTCCCTAGTGTGAACTCGCTGGTGTTGACTGAGGTTGGATGAAGACCTGAATGTTTTTCGACAGTGAGTACAGCTGTACGGCCTCTCCTCGGTGTGAATTCGCTGGTGTACCATGAGAGAGGATGACCGAGTAAATCCTTTCCCACATATGGGACAGGTGCATGGCTTCTCCTTGGTGTGAACTTGCTGGTGTGAACAAAGGCTAGAAGGTCGAGCGAATCCCTTCCTGCACACGGAGCAGGTGAATGGTTTCTCCCCAGTGTGACTGCGTCGATGGACTTCCAACCGAGATGGGTAACTAAATCCTTTCCCGCAGTCCGCGCATTTCCATGCTTTCTCCATGTTGTGGGCGTCCTTGTGTCTCTCCAGGGGAGATGATCAGTTGAAGCCACATCCACACACAAGACATATGTATGGGTTTTCCCCACTGTGAATGTTGTGATGTTTTTCAGATTATGTAAGTGATTAAAGCTCTTTCCATAGTCATCTTACTGGCACATTCTTACTTAGGTCTCTGTTTGTGCATCTCTGTACCTCAGTCTCACTGATGTTTGAAATCTTTTTCCAGAGACAGAACAGAGAAACACTTTTCCTTCCACATTCAGGGGCTGACGAGATTCAGCTCTTGATATTTTGTTTGAGATTCCCATCTGAAAATTTCTTACTTTCAAAAACCTGTAAATATAAAAATGTCATCACTGTCAGTACAGCATAGGATTCAGACAATTCCAGTCTGTATGGAATATTGCTTCCTCTCTGTGGCCCAAACCTGTTTATCCCAATCCCACACACTGTCCCTTCTCTCTGGGCTGAAATCCAAACTCATCTCTCTATTTACTTCTTCCACTTCCAGGTTTCCTTCTCAATCCTGAGTATGTCCAGAGCATAGTCCAATTTTGCATGATTTCCAAGTGCTGTATTGTCTGCAAACTTTGAATTATATTGTGTAATTCACAGTCTCAGTTATTAACACACATTAGGAGAAACAAGGGTCCAAACACTCACCCCGAGAATCTCCATCGCAAACTATCCTCCAACTGAAAAACATCCGTTAATCTTTGGACCAATACACTAATCACCACATTTGTTTCCTGTCACTCAGAATCCAAGTTGTTACTAAACCTTTACTTCTTTGAGCTACCACTTTTCTCACATGTCTGTTGTGCAGCACTGTATCAACCACCTTCTGGAAGTCCATGCACAAATCAACAGAACTGCCTTCATCACCTCCATTATCTCTTCAAATTACAACACATGACTTCCCTTGAAGAAATCTAAGCTGGTTTTCTTTGATTCACCTGAATATATCAATCTCATTGTTAATTTTGGTCTGAATTATTGTTTCTAATAGTTGCCCTACCACATACATTAAACTGATTATTCTGTAGTTGCTGCTGTTATCTTTACACATCTCTGAGAACAAAGGCATAACATCTCCAATTCTCCAGCACTACCCTTGAGTTCATCGAAAACAGAAGAATAATGGTAAGTGACTCTCTCTCTAATTTACACTCTCATTTCCCACAATATCCTTGGATAATCTCATTCAGCTTTGCTACCTTAATCAATTTATGCGCAGGCAGTCTATCTGATATCTTCTCCTTATTAATTTTAAACCCTTCCATGTGACTAAACTTTCTCCTCTTTCACCATGGCCTGGGCAGCATCTTATTTCTTGGTAAACACAGTTGCAAGATATTTATTTAACACTTCAGCAATAAACTCTGCCTCCATGCATGAATCCCTTTTTAGCCCCAAATCATCCCTCTCCGGAACTTACTATATTTTTATTGTTTATACCTATAGAAGACTTTAGGAATCTGTTTTACATCGGTTACCACTTTCTTTTCATTGATTTTTTTCTTTGGGTTTTTTAAATTTTCTTTTTCTTCAACCTCTGAATGTTCTATTTTCAGCATGGCTCTCAATTGTATATCCTACTTGACATCTGACATAAAAACACTTTTGTAATATAATATACTCTTCATTTTGTCAACAGGCTTTGTTGTCTACCTTTCAATTTTAAGAATGACACAGTTGACTGTGCCCATAATACCTCATGTTTAAAGGTAGCTCATTGTACAATTACTACTTTTATACCTTTTACCGATTTGCCACAAATTACTGAAGTTGGTTTACCCGAGTTAATTTTTCTTACTTCGGATTCTTTAATCTTTTTCCATAGATGGCCTAAACCACATGGTACAATGACTACCATCCTTAAATATTCCATTCTGACACACTGTCCACTTCATTTCTCAGAACAAAGTCTCACAGTGCCTCCTCTTTCACAGAACTGGAAAAATACCATTGTAAAATGTTTTCTTCAACAAACTACAGAACACTTGCACTTCACTGCATACTATTCCAGTGCAATTTCTGTAATTTGCTAGATTATGACACGCTGTGCCCCACACGCTACAACGTACAAAAAGAAGAAAGATGCACTGATGGCACGTTTCCTTACCCATCATCCCCTGCGGTGGTGACTATCACCTGTGCATGACACAGGAGAGTGGTACACAGACGCGATCCCACACAACTTCTGTAGCATGTGCAGTGACGTTGAGAACAGTGGGCAAAGACGCTTTCTGTTCTAATCTGCAGGCGGTTAGGATGCGGGACCGCGGAGAGAGTGCTGGGGCCTACCTGGGGAAGGGAAGGGTTTGTAAACACTTGTCGAATACCTCAAACCTCGATTATCGACCTACAAGTCCTGGAGTTGTGTCCCCGGGTCTTTTTCCTGGGAACTGCGCATGGTGTATTGTCGCCATCTTTGCTCCTAGTGAGCAGGGCGCCTGCGTGACTAGTTTGGTGACGCAATTTGTCCGTTTGTAACTGGGTCCGAGCGCCCTGTAAATGCGTAAAATAGTGGCAACAGTATCACATACGTTCAGGCTGCAGGTGATGTTTGCAGCTGATGGGAGTCGATGGGGCAATGTATTTATACAGTGTGAGACATTGCATCACCTGTATAGTTATCGGAAAAAGCTGCCGGTCAACACTTGGAGACATTTTAGACAATCGTACCTGGTCTTACTGTACGTTTTGGTGGTGGTCTTAGAGTAAGACGAGTAGAGGGATTGGGTTAATCAGAGGATGTTCTCTTGAACCTGGAGTAGACCATTTGACCCTGTGAGCCTGCATTGCCACTCAACATGATTCTGTCTGATCATCCAATTCAGTAATGCCTTTGTCCGAAAACCTTTGATCCTTTTCGCCCTAAAAACTATATCTATCTCTTCCTTGCCAACTTGGTGGAAGGCGGAGGGGGCTTTGGCGTTGATAGCCGAAAATAAGAAATAGGGCCAGGAGAAAACCATTTGGCCCATCGAACCTGCTCTGCCATTGAAGAAGGTCATGCCTGATTTGACAATGGACTTAACTCCAATTACTTCCTTGTCCCACGTACGATTCTGCTGGCATTTCTTCCAAGATCTTGCCCATGTCCCAATGGCCCAGGCAAGGAAACATACCGTGTCCACTGTTATTCTTGATATATTACAAAACCAGTGGGCACCCAGGGTTCAGAGTGTTTGTCGACACTGGGAGAAACTCTTTTGGGACTTCATTCCTCAATTCGGTTTCATTTAGTGTGACAGGATCATATGTTTCAGAAACATGTTCTGTAGAAATAATGTTCTGTAGAACCAAGAAATGTCTATTTGTGACTTTCTGTCCTGTGTTGATAGTGAAACTGACTCTGTCAACTCCTTTTACAGGAAATTTGAACTAAATATTTTGCAAACAGAAAACCAAGGTCAAATATTATATCTGACTGATTCAGTTAATTCATTACAACATCAATATCATTGGCCTTTGAATGTAGAAAGAGAAATGTTTCTGTCTATGGAAAAAGATTTCAAACATTATTCTAACTGGAAAAGCACCAAGTCACATCAACAAATACCTGAGTGAGAAAGTTCTAGTGAATTGAATGTGGAAAGAGTTTTAACCAGTTACACAGCCCGAAAAAATATCGATCTGTTCATAGTGGAGAAAGTATTACAGATTCACTGTTCCTTCAGTGTCACTGGGTCAAAGTCCTGGAACTGCTTCCATAACAGCAATGTGGGTACACCTTTACTAAATATTGTGCAGTGGTTCAAGAAGGCAGCTCACCACCACCTTCTCATGGTGCCCTACATCCCACTAATAAATAAATAAAAAAATATTGACAGTGTTCTACATGACTATATGTGATCAGACAACATGGTGAGACAGAAGTACCATGGAGAAAACATGGAAATGTGTGGATTGTGGGAAGGACTACACATACCCAGTCCTCCTGGAAACCCATTGATGCACTGGGGACAGACCATTCACCTGCTCCATGTATGGGCAGTGATTTACTCGGTCAACAAGCCTGGTGTCACATCAGTGGGCTCACACTGACGAGAGAGCTCTTAAATGCTCTGACTGTGGGAAAAGCTTTAAGGGCTGTAAAGGTCTAATTCAACATTGACTCCTTCACACAGAGGAGAAGTCATTCACCTGTTCCACATGTGGGAAGGAATTCACTTGGGGATCTGGCCTAATGTCACACAAATGGCTTCACCACGGGGAGGGAGCCTTTGTCTGCTATATGTGTGGGAAGGGATTCAATGATTCATCCACACATCTGATACACTAGCAAGGTCACATGTGTTTGCATTCTGCTGTTGTTGCAGCCAGAAGTGAACCGTGTTCATTATGACAGCTGGAGTTTACTTCAGTGGATGTCAATAATCTCATTAAGTGGACTGGTGTTTAATTGTCCAGGTATCAATTACTTTAAATATACAGAGTTTGCATCCTTGATTTCTCTTAGGTTAGAGAAAACTGATATATATCCCATTACTGACCTGTTCTTGTTAATGCAGGGCTTGTATTTACAAAATGACTTTCACACATTCTGGATGTTCTAATGTTATTCACAGCTCCTGAAGTCCTTATGAAGTGAAATCACTGTTGGAGGACATACAGCAGCTAGATTGCATGCAACTGACTCTCACAAACAGAAATAAGATGCTGGAAACACGAAGGATATCAGGCAGCATCTGTGAGGACAGAAACTGAGTTCTGAACAGAAACATGACTACAACAGATACTCTGTTCAGTGATGGTCACTGAGGGTTGTATATTGAGCAGTCAAACCAAAAAACCTGCCCTGTTTTTGGAAATAAATTTATGAGATCTTTTATGTCCACCTGTGAGCTCATCTGTGGCTACAGCTAAAGGTTCCCTCTGAAAGATAGGACCTCTGACAGTGCAGAGCTCCCTCAGTACTGTATCAGAATATCAGTGGAGATTTTGTGGTGAAGACTCTGGACGGCAGTTTGAACTTGCAACATTTTGACTCAGGAATGAGATTGTAATCAATGAACATTAATACCTGGTCATTACTCTGGATTATTTCAGATCTGATACTTCTGAATGACAGAATTGTTACAGTGCAAAAGGAAGCCATTTGGCTCTTTGTGTCTGCCCTGACAGTCTGAGTATTATAGCAGCTCTGACACTTTTGGTTGTTCTCATGGACATATTAACCTATTGGGCTCTTGGTCAAAGCCACGAGGATTGTGTGAGTGTCTTTTTAGACAGGTGATAATGCTTTCCAGAGCAACACAAGAGCTGATTCTGCATCAGGAATTGTGGAACTTTTTATGAAATCACAAACAAAACTACAGACATCAAACACCATAACGTGATGACAATATGCGCTAAAAAGGCTTGATTTGTCCTTAACCATTCATGCTATTTGTTATCATTGAACACAAAGTGCTTGAGAATAGAAGATTTGAAAGTTACCTCTAAATTAATGGGGCAAGCACTTCTGTCTCTGATGTGAAGTTATCGTTTAAAACAACCAAATGTGGGCATAATTGCTGTGAAATGTAAACTGATGTGAGTTTCTACCTCAACCATTCAAAGCAAAATCTATATGAAGTTTAAAGAGATAATTAAACATCACTGTTACAAATTATAAACAGTTCATGTGGTTTCTGGCTTTTAAAAAGATTTATTTATTTTGGGGAATAATTATCTACAGATTTTTTTTAAAAAAATCTTTTTTTCTTTGAGTTTGGGTTAACATTTTAAAAAATGCCCAGGCATAATTGATTAGGACACTGCCAAATCATCAATGCTACATAAAATAAACAATAAACAAACACATTATGTTAATGCTCAGAATCAGATGGTAATGTTTGAATCCTGTTTGAAAGCAGCCAATAGGGATCACTGTGCTGGGGATTGATGTCTTCGGGATCCAGGCTGCAGACCAGGTGCACGGACACGGGAGCCCGGCCCCTGTTGTTCCCCCTCCTGGAGCCAAGGTTTCCAGGGCAACCAGCTGGCAGCTTGGGCCAGAGTGAGAAGCCGCTCGGGGAATTATCCCCCTCTACCTCAACCAACCACCCCAGGTCCAGCTCAGGGCTTGGGGGAGGGGAGTGCACCATGTAAAATCTCTTCCCTTCATTCCCCTCCTCGGTCTCAGAGCTGATCTCATTGAAACCTACAAATTACTGAAAGGGATATACAGGGTGGATGCAGGGAAGACGTTTCCCCTGGTTGCTTGCATATCAAATGTACTGCACTGGGCTTTGGGCTTTTGCTTCCCAATGACAAAGGAACTGATTCTAATGTAGCAAAATTTGCCGTTGGTACTATAGATAGGAAAGCAGGTAGTAAGGATGATAGAAAGAGTCTGAAATGGGATATAAATATGATGTGGAGGTGCTGGTGTTGGACTGGGGTGGACAAGGTCAGAAGTCACACAATACCAGGTTATAGACCAACAGGTTTATTTGAAATCACAAGCTTTCTGAGCACTGCTCCTTTGTCAGGTGAAGTGAAGAGGGTTATGAATAGGTGTACATATGTGGCAGTGGGGAGACTGGCAGGCATAGGAGAATAAATAAAAGAACTGTGGATGCTGAAGATCTGGAACAAAACAGAGACTGCTGAATAAATTCAACAGCATCTGTAGATAGCAAGCAGGGCTAACATTTTGAGTCCAGTAACCCTTCTTCAGAAGGGTCTCTGAAACATAGAGAATTGGTTTACTCAGAGGCAGTGCAGTCTTTGAGAATATTTAAAGTAAAGATTGATAGATTTCTGATTACCAATGACATAAGGTTTATGGTGTTACTACTTCTAGTCTCTCCCACAACGGGAAATATCTTTCAGCATCCATGCTACCAAATCCCCTTAAGACTTTATAAGTTTCAAGACAATCAACTCACCTAAACTGCTATGGTTGCAGACCCAGACTATTCAACATCTCCCCTTAGCACTCCACTGATTGCCCCTCTCACCTCCATGGAGACAGCCATTCTCCATGGCAAATAATCTCTGGAGATTCCACCATCCCTACAAACCTCAGAGATCCCTGTACTTTGACCCTTAACTATCCACTTCAACATCACTCCAACATTGATCACTGTACTTTTAGCTACTGAATCCCATGGTCTGTAATTTCATCCCGAAACTTCTCACCTCCTTAAAATCAACCTTTTCAACTGAGATTTGGATCATCCATGAAGCACACTGGGATATTTTAATGTGAAAAATGTTTTACATTAACACAAATTGTTGTTATAGCCTTTGAATGGTTGAGGAATAACACAAAAATATTTTAAGTTAATGTACCATAATGATCAGTCATATTCAGGCAGGAAGCATAAACCTGGTGTTTTACTTTCAGTCATAAACAGATCACAGTTTAACATCACTGATTCTCAGCATGCTTCCAGCATTCACATTGTTATAAAAGATCTTCTGTTCAGTGTCTAGATCTAAACAATGGAAGACAGCAGCTGAGACACATTTCTCACGTTCCCCCAGATCTACACATGTGTTAGATCCTGGATGTGAATTCAACTACTGTAATCACTTCTCAACTCCCTTATGTCTCACACTTGCAGCAGCCTCATGAACAGCCACTCCCCAGTATGCGTGCAGGAGGGAGATCGGTTGAACCCAGTCGCACAGAGAGAGAACACCTGAATTCTCTCTCATCGATGTAAACACGATGGTGCATCAGTTTCGTGGAACTTTTAAAGCAATTCCACCGGACTGGCCATTTAAAAGATTGCTCATCAGTATGAAGTTTCTCATGTCAGCAGGTTGGACTGAGAGAAAGTAAACAGCTCCTTCCCAGTGTGAAATTGCTTGTGAGATAACAAGGTGTAGAGCTGGATGAACACAGCAGGCCATCATTTTCTGATGAAGGGTCTAGGCCCGAAACGTCAGCCTTCCTGCTCGGCCTGCTGTGTTCATCCAGCTCTACACCCTGTTATCTCAGATTCTCCAGCATCTGCAGTTCCTACTATCTGTGAAATTGCTTGTGTTCCTTTAATTTGGGCGGGTGAATGAACGGTTTCTTTCAGGTGTGTGTTCTCACTGTCTACTGTTGGAGAACCAAGTGAGTCTCTTTCCATACTCAGTGCAGGTGAATGATTTCTCCCCTGTGCGAGTTCTCTTGTCTATGTAAACTGGATAACTGAATGAATCCTGTCCCAAACTCAGGTGAGGTGAATGATTTCTCTCTTGTATGAGTTCTCGTATGTGCATGTAAGTTGGATAACTGAGTGAATCGCTTTCCCACACAAAGAGCAACTGAACAAAAGGAATATCTCAGATTTTTTTAAACTCTACCTCACAGAAGTACAAATTTACACATTTTCCCACATTACACTCCCTTTGCCAACTGATGTGCTCGGCAGCATGCACACGCAGCTGCGTAACTTAAAGGAGCTTTCTTTGTAGTTGCCTTATGTGCTCTTCATAGCTTATTTTCCTCGGTACATTGTATCATCAGCAAATTTAACAAACATACTTTCAGTGCCTTCATTTTAGTGAATTATATCAATTGATCCCTTTGCACACCATTTCTTATTGATTTGAAAATATATCGGAGGTCCTTTATCACCTCTGGGTAACTGACCCGTTTCCTTTAAGTTATGCAGCTGCGTGTGCATGGTATTAGCACATCAGTTGCATCGTGACCTTCCATTCGGAAGTCGCTGCCATGCACAACCTCAGAAGCTCACACAGCCAGGAGGAAAATCACAGAAATGGTGCTGGTGACTTATTTAAGAGTGTTGTGGGAGCACATTCACTAAACAGATTGCAGCAGTTAAAGGAGTTCAATCATTATTAGCATTGTGGTTATTTCACTGTTCTAGTGATCTGGAGGCACAGTCAAATACTCTAAGGACATGGGTTCCATTCCCAGACCAGAAACGGGTACAATTTAAATTCAGTTTAATCTGGAGTTAAAAGCATTGCCAGCAATGCCTCCATCCCATGAAAAAGAAAAAAAATCATTTTGGTGTTTGGTAATATATGATGTTGGACTTGTTAGTGATGCCCAAATCCCTAGAATTAATTTTAAAAGTTTACGTACAAAAAATACACTAAATGCATCTACTGACATACTTTTCTTCCTGAAATAAAATAGTATGCATTTAACCAATAAAATTCTCTTGAAATTCCTTGCCTTTGACATTTTGATTGTGCAAATTGCTGGGTCTCACTGATTGTGGAACTTAATTGAAAAATAGCAACTTTACAGGCCTACCCTGCCCCCACCGCCTCTTCGTCCATCTGAAATTCGACACCGCCCGTCGTTCACTCCGATTGGTTGGAGAAGCAGCCACGCCCACCTGGCCCGCCAACACCGCCCATCCTTTCTATTAGCGCTGCGCCACCATCAGTCAGCCGGGTCTCATTGTGAGGACACTCGAGGGCGGGGCTTACAGGTCACGATCGCGGCCGCGCAAACAAAGGGAAAGTGCGTCATCATTATGTGATCAGAACTGGAAGGTATTGCTAGGAGCAGAATTAAAGTTAGGAGACAGTGAGAGAAAACTGGGAGCGAAGGAAAGTAATGTTGGAGAAGGGCTTATATTCTAGATGAGAGTTGAGCTAGATTATGTGGAATTGGCATTTACAGCTTTGGAAGAAACTGAGAAGTCATGATTTCCATAGAAACTGAAATTGTCTGTTCTGGATTTCTGTCCTGTACTGGCGTCAATGACTTCTGTAAATTCGTTTTACAGAGGATTAGAAGGAAGGATTAATGAGTGTGAGACTCAAACCAAGCATCACATCAGGAGCTGATCGAGTCATTCGGTTCATCGGAACCTGAATATCATCAGTCTTTGAATGTGAAAAGAGAAATGTTTTGTCTGTGGTAAAATATTTCAAACATCAGTGTGACTGGAACAGCATTGGTACATACTCCTGAATGAGTGTATGCCAATGAACTGAATGAGCTTGAAACAACTGTGCAGCCTGAAATAAATTGCCCAGTTTGTAGTGAGGAGAGACTGTACATATGTTGTGTGTAGAGACAATTGATTATTCCAACCTGGAGAGTCACAGATGATGGAGAAACTATGCAAATGTGAAAAGCGTAGGAAGGGATTCGATTACCTTTCTGAATTGGATATTCATCAATCCAGACATACTAGAGAGAAGCCATTCAGCTGTACTCAATGTGGAAAAAAGGTTTGCTCATCCAGCCTCTATACGCACCAGACAATACACACTTTCAAGAGGCAATTCACTAATATTGATTGCTGGGAACAATTTGATACTTCCATCAAATCTCCTGATTGTTCAGGTTCATTCGGACCTGAATCCTTTGAAATGTTCCCACTGTGAGAAACGCTTTAAAAGCAAACAGGAGCTGCTCAGGCACCAATACATTCACACGGTGGTGAGACTTCCGCTAGCTCCATTTTTGAAAACGGATTCACTTTGTCATCCACCTTTTGACACACCACTTGTTCACACAGTTAAGAGACCTTTTGCGTGTTCTGACTCTTGGAAATGTCTTGATTTGTAAGTCCATAAATGCATTCATGCTGGGGCCTGGCTGTTCACCTACTGCCTGTGTGAAAGCAGATTCAGATGTTTATCCCAAATGCAGACACACCAGTGAATTTACACTGATCAAAGACTGTTTACATGTTCTGTCAGTGAGAAAGACTTTAAAAATAAATAGGATCTGTTGAGACACCAGGGTGCTCACACTGGGGAGAGACCATTCATCTGTTCCATATGTGGAAAGAAATTCATTCGTTCATCCCACTCTCTGAGACACTAGCAAGTTCATACTAGAGAGAAGCCATTCATCTGTTGAGGTTGGTTGGTTCGCCGAGCTGGTTTGTTGTTCCACAGACGTTTCGTTACCGTGCTTGGTAACAGCCTCTGATGAAGCGTCGGTGTGTTTTCCCGCCTGGCTTTTAAACTCTGGGGTCCGTTGCGATGGATTGCCTCACTTCCGGGTTTCCTCCGTAGTGGAATGTATGTGGGGTTGAGTTCAATATGTGTTCAATTGTTCACAATGACCAGCTCGGCGAACCAACCAACCAACCTCAACACCCACAACCTGAGCTACAAATCTACTCCAAAACCTTAGAAGCTATTCATCTGCTTTGTGTGTGGGAAAGGATTCTCTGATTCACCCTACCTGTGTCATAGAATCCCTACAGTGTGGAAACAGGCCATTTGGCCCAACAAGTCCACACTGCCCCTCTGAAGAGCATCCCACCCAGACCCATTCCCCTACCCCTGCATTTCCCATGTCTAACCCACCTAACCTAAACATCCCTGGGCACTATGGGCAATTTAGCATAGCCAATTCACCGACCTTGCACATCTTTGGACTGTGGGAGGAAACCCACGCAGACACGGGGAGAATGTGCAAACTCCACACAGGCAGTCGCCTGAGGCTGGAATTGAACCCGGGTCCCTGGCATTGTGAGGCAGCAGTGCTAACTACTGAGCCACCATGCTGCCCGTGCCGTACCTCCTGCTACACCAGTGAGTTCACAGTGGGGAGAGACCATTCACTTGCTCCACATGTAAGGAGGGATTCACTTAGCCATCCTAGTTCACTGACCATCAACCTGTTCGCACTGATCAGAGAATTTCAAATGTTCTGGCTGAGAAGAGCTTTAAAACCTGAAAGTAATTGTTGATGCACTGGTGAGCGGCCATCCACCTGCCTTGTGTGTGGGAAGAGATTCACTCAGTCATCCACTTTGTTGAGACATCAGCAAATTCACAAGTGACTAGCAGGGCAGATTCTGCTCTCGCAATCGTATTCAGGACCAGATCACATCCCTAACTGAACCAAGGTCATTATGATGGTGGCGTTCTGTCTTTGCTTATGTTTATATTCCTTAGGACTGGACTGGATGGATAATAAATGCTGGCCTAGCCATTAACGGCCATATCTTGTGAGTGAATTTTTAAAAATTGGCATTCTGGTTGGAGCAGACAGTTTAAAGTATAAGAGTTGAAACTGTCAAATTGTCATAATGTATGGAGTGGGTAGGATAAGGACAAAAGGCAAACAGGTAGGGTGGAAGACAGGAGAGATTGAATGACAGAAAAGCTGGTCCCTTACAGAAGAAACGAAGAAGAAAAGATGTGCCAGGAACAAATCTGCTGCCAACTGAAAGAAACAAAATGGAAAAAGCAAAGAAAAGGAAACAAAATGAGGGATATTATTTAAGCTCCAAAATTGTTGAAATCAATGCTGAGTCCAGGAGGCTGTAAAGTTTAGATGAAGGAAGCTGGGTAAGTCAGAAGATTTGTCACATGGACCTACTCTTGTCCTGGTTCAAACAGTGAATTGTAGATCTGAACGCATGTGTCCAAAGTGGAGGATATCACTACCTGTTGGCCTGTCTTCCTTGGTTATGTCTGTGCACGGGTAGCTTTGGAGAGGAACTTTCTGGGGAGCCTTTTGCTGATTTTGGCTTCTGTTAGTTTGATTTGTTCTCATATTTGGGGAAACAAGAGAGGAAAGAATATTGCATAAAAAACTCAACTCAAATTGTCTTTTGCGAACTGCTGTCCTGTGCTGCTTGTGATTTTGACACTTTCATCTCCTTTACAGATGATTAGATGTAAACGTGAACTAAATATCACATCAAAATATGACAGTGTGACTCTTCTGCAGACACTGAAAATCACTAGCCTTTGACTGTCAAGGAAGTAGTGTTCTGTCTGTGGAATACAATTATTTAAAATGTGATTGGACAAACTCGGAGACTCACGCACACACTGGGGTGGGAGTGTTCTAGTACACTGTCTATGGAAAGAACTTTAACCAGTTAGACAGCCTGAAAATACATTGTACCACTCACAGTGGGTAGAGGTTGTTCACAGGTTCTCCCTGTGATCTAACGCCAACAGATCATCCAATCTGGAGAGACACAAGGACATCGGCACCATGGAGAAACCACCAAAGTGTGAGGACTGTGGGAAGGGATTCAGTTGCAAATCAGAGAGTGATTCAGCCCCATCTGCTGCTGTACAGCTTGTGTGTGTGTCTCAGTGTCAGCTCTGAAACATTTCCAGGACAGTACCATCCTGTATTAGTGTTTTTTATCTTTATTCACTCATGGGATGAGGGCATCGCTGGCTAGGCGGCATTTATTGCCCATCCCTAATTGCTCAGAGGGCAGTTAAGAGTCAAACACATTGCTGTGGGTCTGGACTCACATGTAGGCCAGACCAGGTAAGGATGGCAGTTTCCTCCCTAAAGGACCAGATGGGTTTTTCCTGACAATCGACAATGGATTCATGTCATAATTAGACACTTAATTACAGATTTTTATTGAATTCAAATTCCACCATCTGCCATGGCAGGATTTGAACCCGGATCTCCAGAACGTTATCTGGATTCTCTGGATTAACAGTGCAGAAATAATACCATTAGGCCATTGCCTCCCCTGTGTGTCCCTGGCTCAGTATCTGTGTCTGTAACTCTCTCACCGTATCTCTGAAATTAGCTCTGAAAACTGCTCCATTCCCTGTAGACCAGATGGGGATACAGCTAAAACATGGGATGTGTTCTGTAAATGTCCATCTATCGGACTTTGAGGTTTTGTAGTGTCAGGGTGTGATTTGGGTTAAATACAGGCCAGGCCTCTTCTTCAAAGCACATTGCGTGATCATTTTGTTCTTTATCACAAACAGAAAGCTTTTATCTCTCTCATATCTATTTTACTGAAATTCTGTGCTTCATATAAATTGGCCATCAAGAGTAAGGAAGTCTTGCTGTGACTGTTGTCCTGAGACCACATCAGGAATCCTGTGGGCCACTTTCATCCTCAGGCGAAGTGTAAACAGCTTCTGTCTGTATCCTCCTAATGTTTGCTACTGTTCTCTTCCCTGATTACTCCATTGTCCAATTATGTGCCATCTTCAAATTCTGAAGATATGTCCTGTTTTATGGAGTTAGATACAGAGTAAAGCTCCCTCTACAAAGTTCGCGACAAACACTCCCAGGACAGGGACAGCACGGGGTGGTCTCTTGATGATGTCACAGTCAAATGTTTGAAAAACAGGCATAATCTAAGCAGAGATGCAGAGTTAAACTCAATCTAAACAGTCTCCAACACACCCTACCCCCAAAAACAGGTAGAGACATACAAAGTCACAATTCTGAATTCTCAACTTAGAAACAATGGGGTCAATATGTCGCTGGCTCAACATTCTCAGCAGGAACTGAACTCGTCCACAAAACAGTGTTTTTTTGTTTGATTCTCTCTGTTCTATTCTGATTCTCTGCTAGATTCCTGGTTTTGAACATCCACATGAACAGTCCGAATCCCATGCGCCATGTCCTGTTCCCAAACACAGCATCTGATTCCATCCGGTGTGTGATACAGGAGCGTCTCAGTGTCAGGGGAGGTGAGTCTTGAGCTTGACCTAGGTGTGTGAATGTCCTGTGTTAGTCTGACAGCCAGGGATTGTTTCATGGTGCTTTAATATTAAGGAACCCTGATATTATTTTGTCATTCCATGTTGCACTCTGTGTGTGTGTGTGTATGCGCGCGCGCGCGAGAGAGCGTGTTAACGTCAGTGACCTGGGCCGTGTTTCACTGGGGCACATACCTCTTTAATCTAGTGCTTGTTCGGTTATTAGACATTATTGACCAGATCCTTGTACACAAATCACAGAAAACTCATGTGATTGTCTCGCCAAATATTAGGTGGATAGCTGATAGGTTGCCAGTTATTACCAGGTGTCAGGACTAGGTAAAGTGAGGACGTCTTGCTGTGGTTGTACAGGGTACACGGGCACCATGAACCAACTCAAAAAGGCTAACAGATGAATGTAGCAATTTACAGATATTTCAGGAGTGAGGAGAGAGAAACAGACAGACACACACTGACCAAGGGACAGAGAACGACGGGAGGATATTTGGATTTCCAAAAGCATCATATCAGGCCAGTCTTTGATTTAAAATTGAACATGTTATTAGTGAGAATAGTTTAGAATGTAATTATGAAGAGGATGTAAAGGGTATTCAAATTGAGCGATGTAGAGATGGTCAGTGAGTGGGTGAAACATTGTCTGATGCAGTATAAAGTGAAGAGTGTGATATTTGTCAGGAATAATCGATAAAGACTCTTTAATTTAACTGGGGAGATGTTGCAGGATTCTAAGTACAGAGGGACCTGGGCGTACTGGGATATCACTTACATTGAGTTTGTCTGCAGGGGCAGCAAGTGATTGGGAAGGCAAAGAGATTTCTTTTTTAATTCATTGATGGGATGTGAGCATCACTGGCTGGGCCAGCATTTATCCCGCATTCCTAACAGCACTTGAGAAGGTGGTGGTGACCTGCCTTATTGAACTGATGCACTCCATAAAACTAATTTTTTTGGAGAAACGGAATGTGGCAGAAATTAAAGTGCAGCTTTCTCTGTCCCTGCTCCCAGTTTAACATTCAACCGCTTAGTTTGTATTGGGTTAGAGACTGGAATCTCATTGATGTTCTCAGCAAGTTTAAATATAGCATAAAAAAAGGGAGTGAGATACAGACAGTAATCTGATTGATGGCATTGAGGGTTTTAGATATAGCATAACACATTCCAGGGAGTGACTTACGGTCTGAAATCTAATGGAGGTGTTTGGGGTGGTTTATATACAGAGTAACTGATACCAAGGAGTGAGTTACAGACCGAATCTAGTCGAGAGGATCAGGGATGGTTTATATAGAGAATAATAAGTACCCAGGAATGAGTTACACATGGAAATCGAGGGACAGATGTGCTCATGGGCCAGGGAGTGACAGACGGAATTTAATTGAGCTAAATGTGAGGTGTTGTGTTTTGGTAAGACAAATCAGGGCAGGACTTAGAGTTAATGGTAGGCGCTGAGGAGTATTGTCGAACAAAGTGATCCTACTGGTGCAGGTGCATACTTCCTTGACAGTGGAGTCGCAGGTAGACAGGATGGTGAAGACAGCGTTTGGTATGCTTGCCTTCATTGGTTAGTGCATTGAGTATCGGAGTTGGGAGGTCATGGTGCAGCTGTCTAGGACATTGACTGGGCTACTTTTGGAGTACTGCATTCAATTCTGATCTCCTTGCTATAGGAAGGATGTTGTTAAAGTTGAAATGCTTCAGAAAATAATTTAGAAAGATGTTACTGGGATTGGATGGTTTGAGCTACAGGGACAGGCTGAATAGGCTGGGGCTTTTCTCCCTGGAGTGTGGAGGCTGAGACGTGACCTTGTAGAGGTTTATAAAACCATGAGGTGCATGGATAAGCTGAATAGGTAAGGTCTTTTTCCAAGGGCTGGAGAGTCCAAAACTGGAGTTCATAGGTTTAAGTGAGAGGGAAAAGATTTAAAAGGGACCCAAGGGGCAGACTTTTCACGCAGAGGGTGGTGTATGTATGGAATGAGCTGCCAGAGGAAGTGGTGGAGGATGGTACAATTACTTATTTAAAAAGCATCTGTATGGGTATGTGAATAGGAAGGGTTTGGGAGGATAGGAAGGATATGGGCCAAATGCTAGCAAATGGGACTAGATCAGTTCAGCATATATGGTTGCCTGGACAAGTTGGATTGAAGCGTCTATTTCCATGTGTATGTCTGTATTTATTGAATAACAGATATCAGGAGTGAGATACAGACTGGGATTTAATTGAGGGGTTCGGTTAATATAAAGAATAACAGATACATGTGAGTGAACTAGAGACTGGAATTCAATTGAGGAGTTTTGGGGTAATTCATGTACAGAGTAACAGGTACTAGGGAATGAGTTACATATAGGACTATAGTTGAGGGGTTTGATGTGGTTTACATATAGAATAAACATTAATGGGGCATGAGTTATAGACAGGAATCTAATTGAGGTCTTTGGGGTAAGTATATATATAGAATAGCAGACACCTGGGAGTCAGTTACAGGCTGGAATCTAATTGACGGGTTTGGGTGCTTTATATATAGAATAACAGATGGCCGGGAGTGAGTTACAGACTGGAATATAATCAAAGGGTTTGAGTGGTTTTCAAACAGAATTACAGATACACGTGAGTGAGTTTACAGGATGGAATATAATGGAGGGCTTCATTGTGGTTTATATATAGAATAACAGATACCCGCAAGTGACTTACAAACTGGAATCTAATCGAGCAGATAATGTTGTTTTATATATAGAATAAAAGATGCCCAGGAGAGAATTACAGACTGGAATCTGATCAAGGGGTTCGGTGTGGTTTCTCTACAGAGTCACAGATACATGGGAGTAAGTTACAAACTGGAATCCTATCAAGGCGTTCAGGGTAGTTTATATATAGAATAACAAATGTGTGGAAGTGAGTTACTAATTGGAATCTAATTGAGAAGTTTGGGGTGGTTTATGTTCAGAGTGACAGATATGTGGGAGTGAGTTACAGTTCTCCCTGCCAATCGCTGTCTGTCATTATCTGTGTCCCTTCTCTCTCTGTGCTTGTCTCTCTGCTTCTCCCACCGTCCCCATCTCTGACAGTTCTCTGACTGTATATTATAACATTGTAATGTTGAGGCAGACTGCATACAGAGTGTAACAGTGTTTGCTGTGTCCTGGAGGGTATAGGATTGGTGGGTGGACAGTAAACAGGGTCATTTCCAGCTTGGTGAGCTGGTACTAGTGGGGGTACCAGAAGGGTCACTGCTAAAGCTACAGCCATTTACAATCGATATCAATGATTTAGATGAAGGGCACAAGTGTAATGTCTCCAGGTTCACTGTTAAGACCACGTTGGATGGGAGAAAAAGCTTTGGGGACGATCAAAGAGGCTGTAAATAAATATGGACAGGTTCACTGAGCGGGTATGTAATTGGCAGATGGGAAATAATGTGGAGAAATGTCCATATGCAGCAGAGATTTCCACACTAACATATTAAAATCCCCGTTTCCTGCCCAGTAAGTTAGTAAACCCACACTTGCAGACCCAATGAGGATTATCTCTGTGGGAGGGTAGTTTTCTGACTGGATATTATAACATTGCAATATAAGGTACTGAGTCTAACCAGGTTCGCTACATCCGACCATATCGTTTACTTTGCTGTCGGTACTTATGAATTATATTGACAGACGGAAGATGATGTGGTGAAATACGATTCACTTGTTGGAAGAATGGAAAACACAGAGTGTTCCAGTTTGAAATGGTGAGAAATTATTAAAACATTATTATCCAGGGGTTTCGGCTGATCTTGTCACAAACATCAGGAAGTTAACATGATGTTCGAACCAACAAATAGGAGAACAAATGATGCGTTGCTAATTGTTGCCAGGAGATTGTAAGAGGAAAGTGAGAAAATCGTGCTGTGAATGTCTCTAGGTCAGATTTTTCCTTTCACTGAAATTATTAATATCCTTTTTGGAGTTTCTCCTTCACATACAGTAACACTTTGGCACATAGACACACGCACAGGCTCAAACACAGAGACACACATGCACACAGACGGACACGCTCACACAGACACACACGTGTGCACAGACACTGAAATTCTCACAAAAGGTCAATCACTAACACAAAAACACTAAATCTGAAACACTCTCACACCCATGAACACACACAGCCACGCATTCACGCACATACACTCACATATTCAACACTGATTTATTCACATCCACACAAATCTATACTAACACTCAAATATTTTTCTGTGAATCCATGTTAAAGAAGAATCTCTCTCTCTCCTTACTCACACACACACACACACACACACACACACACATTCCCTCTCTCATACACAGACATACAAGTTTATGGAGTGAATTATTCCATTCAGGAGGAGTAAATTACTGCAGACACTGGAATCTGTACTGAAAACAACAAATGCTAGAAATCAAAGTGGGTTAGGTAGCATCTGTGGAGAGAGAGCAAGCTAACATCGAGTCTTGATAACTCTTCATCAGAGGTGATGAAACATCATCTAGACTCGAAACATTAGCTTGCTGTCTCTCCACGGATGCTGCCTAACCCACTTTGATTTCCAGTATTCGGCTGTTTCCAGATCATTCCATTCAGGAGGTTTGTTTTATTGCTAATGTTTTGTTTATTTTTAGAGAGCACACAACTTGAAGCCACCATAGGACAGTGTTACAGGAATTTAGAAAGTGTTTTTAGGACAAAACAAACCTGACTCCTAGCAAAAAGGGTAAATAGGAGGGTCAACAAGGCTTTAAAGTAGAAAGGGCGGGTGGGGAAGGGTAAAACTCCAAAAAGTATAATTACCAATGGGAAACAAAGCAGCAGATTGACACCCGTGGGGCTGGATTCAACTGCACAGAAAAGTATACAAAAAATGGAAAGAAAGGAGAAGTCAGGAAAAGTCATTCAAGTCTCCAGCACACAAAAAAGGACAGTTTGGAAAGGGCTAGGAATCTAATTTCAAGTGCTTCGGATAAAGGGATGATAAATACAGGACTGAAAGTTTTGTATCTGAATGCACACAGTATACAAAATAAGGTAAATGAGCTTGTGGCACAGATTGAAATTGGCAGGTATGATGTGGTGGGCTTCACAGAGACATGGCTGCAAGGGAATCAGGACTGGGACCTAAATATCCAAGGATATATATCCCATTGAAAAGACAGGCAGGTGGGCAGAGGGGGTGGGACTGCCTTATTAGTAAGAAATTAAATCGATAGCAAGAAACAACATAGAATCGGATGATATAGAATCTGTGTGGGTAGATTTGAGCCTCCAAACAGTAGTCACTATGTGGGGCACAAGATACACCAAGAGATAGAAAAAGCGTGTAAGGAAGACAAGGTTACGGTGATCATGGGTAATCCCAATATGCAGGAGGACTGGGAAAATAAGGCTGGTAGTGGAACGCATGAAAAGGAATGTGTGAAATGCCTGTGAGATGGGTTTTTGGAACAGCGTGTGGTGGAACCCATGAGGGAACAGGTAATTCTGGATTTAGTGTTGTGCAATGAGGCACACTAAATAAGGGAGCTTCAGCTGAAGGAACCCTTAGGACGGTGACTATAGTATGATAGAATTTACTCTGCAATTTGAGAGGGAAAAGCTGGAATCAGATGTAACGGTATTATAGTTGAATAAAGGCAACTACAGAGGCATGAGGGAGGAATTGACTGGGAGAGGAGCCTAGCAGGAAAGACAGTGGAACAGCAATGGTAGGAATTTCCAGGAATAATTTGGGAGACGCAGCAAAAATTCATCCGCTAGGAAAAAGAAGCATACTAAAGGGAGGATGAGGCAATGGTGGCTGACAAAGGAAATCAGGGATAGCATAAAAGCAGCACAGAAAGCATATAATGTGGTGAAGGGCAGTGGGAAGCCTGGGGATTGGGAAGCCTACAAAGACCAACAAAGAACAACTACAAATAAGGAAGTAGAAGATTAAATATGAGGATAAGGTAGCCAGTAGTATAAAAGAAGATTGCAAGAGTTTCTTTAGATATATAGAGAGCAAAAGAGAGACAAAATTGGACATTGGGCTGCTGGGAAATGACACTGGAGAAGTAGTAATGGGGAGAAAAGAAATGGCAGAAGAACTGAATAAGAACTTTGCATTAGTCTTCAGCTTGGAAGACACGAGTAATATCCCAAAAATTCAAGAGAGTCAGGGGGCAGAGGTGAGTGTAGTGGCCATCACCAAGGAGAAGGTGCTACAAAAATGGAAAGGTCTGAAGGTGGATAAATCACTTGGACCAGATGACTTCACCCCAGAGTCCTCAACAGATAGTGGAGGCGTTAGTGGTGATCTTCCAGGAATCACTGGAGTCACGGAGGGTCCCAGAGGACAGGAAAATTGCTAATGTAAACCCCTGTTTAAGAAGGGAGTAAGGCGAAAGATTGGAAATTACAGGCCAATTAGCCTGACCTTGGTCATTGGTAAGATTTTGGAGTTAGAATGTGAAGGATGAGATTTCTGAATACTTGGAAGTGTATGGTAAAATAGGGCAGAGTCAGCATGGTTTCATCAAGGTGTGGTCATGCCTGACAAATCTGTTAGAATTCTCTGAGGAGGTAATAAGCAGGTTAGATGAAGGAGAGCCAATGGATGTTATCTACTGGAAGTTCCAGAAGACCTTTGACAAGGTGCCGCGCAGGAGGCTGCTGATTAAGATAAGGGCCCATGGTGTTAGAGGCAAGGTACCAGTGTGGATAGTATGGATTTGCTGTCTGGCAAAAAAAGAGAGAGTGGGGTATTGAGTACAAGAGTTGGCAGGTCACGTTACAGTTGTATAGGACTTTGGTTCGACCACATTTGGAATACTGCGTACAGTTCTGGTCGCCACATTACCAAAAGGATGTGGATGCTTTGGAGAGGGTGCAGAGGAAGTTCACCAGGATGTTGCCTGGTATGGAGGACGCTAGCTATGAAGAGAGGTTGAGTAGATTAGGATTATTTACATTAGAAAGACGGAGGTTGAGGGGGAACCTGATTGAGGTCTACAAAATCATGAGAGGTATAGACAAGGTGGAAAGCAAGAAGCTTTTTCCCAGAGTGCGGGACTCAATTACTAGGGGTCACGATTTCAAGGTGAGAGGGGAAAAGTTTAAGGGAGATATGCGTGGAAAGTTCTTTACGCAGAGGGTGGTGGGTGCCTGGAACGCATTGCCAGCGGAGGTGGTAGAGGCGGGCACGACAGCGTCATTTAAGATGTATCTAGACAGATACATGAATGGGCAGGGAGCAGAGGGATACAGATCCTTGGAAAATAGGTGACAGGTTTAGATAGAGGATCTGGATTGGCGCAGGCTTGGAGGGCTGAAGGGCCTGTTCCTGTGCTGTAATTTTTTTTGTTCTTTGTTCTTAGTCCCTCTCAGGATGGCAGCTGGTAACTAGTGGTGCTCCGCAAGGGTCAGTGTTAGGACAACATCTTTTCATTTTAAACATTAATGATCTAGATGAAGGAACTGACAGCATTCTGGCTAAGTTTGCAGATGATACAAAGATAGGTCAAGTGACGGTCGTATTGAAGCAGCAGGGAGCCTGCAAAAGGATTTAGACAAGTTAGGAAAGTGGGCAAAAATGTGGCAAATGGAATAATACGTGGGAAGGCGTGAGGTCATCCACTTTGGTAGGAAGATTAGAGGCATAGATTATTTTCTAAGTGGGGAGAAAAAACAGAAATCTGAAGTGCAAAGGGACTTGGGAGTCCTGGGCCAGGATTCTCTTAAGGTAAACTTGCAAGTTGAGTCGGTAGTTATGAAGACAAATACAATGTTGGCATTTATTTGGAAAATATAAAAGCAGGGATGTACTTCTGAGGCCTTAAAAGGCTCTGGTCAGAACACATTTAGAGTATTGTGAGCAATTTTGGAACCCATACCTCAGGAAAGATGTACTGGCCCTGGAGCGGGTCCATAGGAGGTTCACAAGAATGATCCCAGGAATGAAAGGTGTAAGGGCGGCCCATGTTTGTAAAACACAAAATGGCCACCAAGGGTTAACCAGAATGAAACAGCATGCTCCAGCATTTAAGTGAAATATAATGGTATCTTTGATCAGGGCTACTCCAAGGTGAACAGGGGGCCCTGCAAGCAACCATCCAAGACAGTTTGATAAGAGGATGCCCGAGGATCGACAAACGATTAATTCCAGCCTCATTTATGAAAGGATGCTGTCCCATTAAGTGAGCAGCATCAGTTAGAACAAGGGGTGTAAATCTCAGCCCACGAACAAGCCAGCCTAACTCATTAAGCAGCTGTGAAAACAACAGCTAAAAGTTATTTTGTAGTAGTTAGTTGTTTCTTTGAAATTGTTCACAACATTAAGAAATAGGTTGTCGTCACAGATTCTTCAGATAATCATAGATTTCAACCTAAGTGTAGATACACGTATAACACAAGTATAATGAAAGCTTTCGGGGAAAAACATTTATACCCAGATGTGAAAGATAATTAGTCTGTAGGAAACACTTCCTTATCTCTAGTATGTCCTGAATGAAATAGATTGTTCACAACTTGAAGTCATGAAGTGCTAACAATGGAAGTATCTGTGTAACTTCACACTTTATAACTAACCTTAGAACAGAAATTAATATTACGAATCTTATAGCAGTTAAGTTAAAACCAACTGTCTTTTGTGTATTTTATATACATAATTGGGACAGTGGAAAATATAAGAGGAATAACTGAATTTGATAGAGATAGTACATGGAATACAATGAATAACAGAAT